GAGGGTTGCGATCCCGTTGCCGGTCCCGGTCCGGTACGGGCGCAACACTGAGGGTTGCGATCCGTTGCCGGACACGAAAAAAGAGACAAAAAGGAAAAAAAAAAAAGGTCAAATAAAATAGAAAAAAATGAACAAAAATCTAGTTAGTGCACCAAAATCATTCTTGTGCACCAAAATCATTCTTGTCTTTCTAGGACATTCAGTGAAATAAGTAAAGCAGAAGAGCAGTACAGCTTGTGCCAAGAACTTTGCAATGAAGTTGCTCGAGATCTACAAAAAGAAGGACTTAAGGTACTTTATTTTGATGTGGTGTTCTTAGTTTTTAAATTTTTTAGTAATAAAATGTTACCTTAAAGCAAAAGTTAGATTACACATTTCTTAAAGGTGAATACAAATTAGTAAATATTAGAATAGAGTTTTCCTATCCCTAGCAACCAGAGGCAAACTCAATTCTGACCCACGTTTGAGGTCTATGATGAGAAAATTCTATGAAGAAGAAACTTAACTGGCTGGATTGGTTCTAGTATAATTTGAGAGGACTTTATACTACCTTGGGAGTATATTTGAGTAAGTTCAAAATCAGAGTTATATTGGCGTTAGAGAATAAAGCAAAGGGAAGGATTTCCCTAGAACTGTATTCACATATTATAAGTGCCTTTCCAATCATTCTTTAATGTTTTTTTTATGTAGACAGTGACTTTCTAGAATAGGCATTTTATTTCATGGTTCTAACCCAAGTTGCTTAACACATTGAGGAAAAAAGCCTGGAAGGCTTTGAACTTTCTGTTTTGTAATCTTTACTCACAAAGATCCATATTTAGTATTTTCCCAACACTCTCAGACCAGTAGTAGAGCTATTACAAAAGTGTAGTATGAAATTATTAAAAAGTTCGGTAAGGGCCATAATAATCATATACAATGTATATTGACAAAATAAAAATTAAAAAAAAAAAAAAAGAAATTATTAAAAAGTTATTACAAAGAATGGGGTATATGATGAATATCTTTCTTAAAATCCTTCTCTATCATACCTTGAGTATAAAGAGAATTCTTTTTAAAATATATTTTAAATAAATGTTTAATTTTAGAATCATCTTAGATTTACAGAAAAGTTGCAAAAGTAATATTGAGTTCCAGTATACTCCTCACCCAGTTTCCTCCATTATTAACATTTTATGTTACCATAGTACATTTGTCAAAAGTAAGAAACTGTGACAGCACATTGCTATTAACTAAACTCCAGACTTCATTTCAATTTTACTTATTTTTCCATTTAATGTCCTCTCTCTTCCAGGCTTCAGTCCAGGGAAGTACATGGCATTTAGCTGTCATGTCTCCTCAGTCTCCTCTGGTCTGTGACAGTTTCTTAGTCTTCCCTTCTTTTTCATGACCTTGGCAGTCTTGAGGAATACTAGCCAGGTATCCTGCATAATGTCCCCCAACGTGGGTTTGTCTGATGGTTTTTTTCATGAGTAGACTGGGATTAGGGGTTTTAGAAAGAATGCCACAAAGGTGAAGTGCCCTTCTCATCACATCCTATCAGGGGGTATATGATAGCCACATGACATCATGAGTAATGTTAAGCTTCATCATTTGGTTAAGGTAGTGTTTGCTAGGTTTCTCCACTGTGAAGTTACTGTTTTTCCTTTGGAAGTGAGTCAGTAAGTCTAACCCATCCTCAAGTGAGGGAGGGCAGGAATTATGTTTCACTAAAATACACATAACATAAAATATTTACCATTTTAACCATTTTCAAGTGTGTGGTTCAGTGGCATTAAGTACGTTTTCATTGTTGTGCAATCGTCACTATCATCCATCACCAGACTTTTTCATCATCCCCACTTGAAACTCTGTACCCATAAAACACTAACTGTAAAGGGAGTTCTTACATGTAAGATCTTTTCAATGAGCCACCTTTAGAAAGATTTGTTTTTCCTTCCTTTTTAGATACTGAATTAACCTCTAAAAGAGAGTTACTAAAAAGAAAAATGATTAGTTAACTCTGCCCTTTATATAAAGGTCATGTATAAAAATTTGGTTGAGGAAAGGAATAATAATTATTGGCCAAAATGGAACTTTTAGATTACTTATGGATTTTAAATATTCTTTATGACAGTTCTCATTACCATGTTTTATAAATAATTGATTATACTTCCATATTCTTATATGTGCTGTACTCAAGAGACTTTTCTGAATTTTTCTAACCTGTAAATATAACTTTTTTCTAGAAGTTAGAAAGCCATATATAATGACGTATTCTTATGTTATAGGGTAGAACTGTTACCATTAAGCTGAAGAATGTGAATTTTGAAGTAAAAACTCGTGCATCTACAGTTTCATCTGTTGTTTCTACTGCCCAAGAAATATTTGCTATTGCTAAGGAGTTGCTAAGAACAGAAATTGATGCTGATTTTCCACATCCCCTGAGATTAAGACTTATGGGTATGACTTTTATTTTCTTGTTTTTCCTTTTTTTTTTTTTTTTTTTTTTTTTTTTTTTTTTTTTTTCCG